GGGAATCAAACTGAGGGTTTTAGAGGGAAGGGGGGTGAGGGGATGGGTGAGCCTGGTGACGGGTATTAAGAAGGGCACATATTGCATGGAGCACTGGGTGTTATAGGCAACAATGAATCATGGAACACAACATCAAAAACTAATGATGTACTGTATGGTGACTAACATAATAAAAAATTATTTAAAAAATAAAATAAAATAAAATAAAATAAATGGATAAATAAAGTCTTTGAAAATTTTTTGGGCAATGTCTTAATGAGGGCTTCAAAGGATTTGAGTCTATCCATCTATGGCCAGCAAGCAGAATGCTTTCCTCACCACAGCAATGTCACTTGTTTGCCTGGGGAGCCTAATCTCTAAAATGTCCCATCAGCAAGTTACTTCTAGTTCTCATTTCTAGGCCAGAAGTTTCCTACTGCAATCCAGGCCATAAAAGTCCTTTTTCTTGTCAACAGAAAGAAAAAAAGAGTTGCTTATGTCTTTGCTATCATGCAGTTTGCTTCTGGCTTCCCCGCCCACCTGATGGGCTTGAAGTTTTTCTCAAGGGCAAGCAGGGCTCTGTGGCTCCCCTTTAGCAAACTGGTGCTCTGAGCACCACCACTTTGAGGGCATGCAGCAGGGATGAGTTTATGCTAAAGCCCTAAACAAAGCTATGTGGACAGAAGAGAGACTCTCGTATCTAAGTTGAATTTTAAAAATAAAATTGCTTTATTAGCACAGAAATATACCTGTGTTCAGCAGATAACAGAGACGATGGCAATTCCCCTAGATTATTATTTCCATTTCTATTTGTGTTGTGGCAGTCACAGAAAATGACTAAGAGATCTTCCCCAAATTGGTGGCAGACACCAACCATACTCACAGATCATTTTCTTAGCATGGCTCCTAATCAGCTCTGAATCTCTGACTTCAGCCCTAGATTTAAAGGGCTCCTATGGGGCACCTGGGTGGCTCAGTCAGTTAAGCGTCTGCCTTCAGCTCAGGTCCTGATCCTGTAGTCCCGGGATTAAGAATCAGGCTCCAGGCTCAGCGAGGAGTCTGCTTCTCCCTCTGCCCTTCCCCTTACTCATGCCCTCTCTTTCTCTCTCAAATGAATAAAATCTTTAAAAAAAAAAAAAAAAAGGGCTTCTATGATTAGGTCAGGCCTACCTGGGTAATCTCCCTTTTGATCAACTCAAAGTAACCTTAATAATTATATCCACAAAATCCCTTTTGCTATATAATGTAACATACTCACATGATATCTCATCATATTGACAGGTTCTACCCACACAAGGGGAGGACACCATACAGGGACAAGAGTCCCTGGGGGTCATCTTAGAATTCAGCCTAACACAGTGGCCTTTTTTCCTATAACCTTAATAAACTCACTCAGTAGATCTAGTAGATTTTTTAAAAAAGATTCCTCAGGGTTTCTACATATATGATCATGTCATCTGCAAATACATACAGTATTACTTCTCCTTTCTAATCCTTATGTACTTTAATTCTTTTTCTTGTCATATTTCCCTGTATAGGACTCCATGTTAAATACAAGTGGTGAGAGCAGACATCCTTGCTTTGTCCTCCATTCACGGGGAAAGCAGTCAACAATACTGTATAGCGTAATCTTAACTCTAGGCTTCCAGTAGAGCTCTGTCTCAGGTTGAGAAAGTTCTCTTCTATTCAGAGTTTGCTGAAAGTCATGAATGAATGTTGAATTTTATGTCAACTGCTTTTTCTGTATCTAATGAGATAATATTTTTCTTTTTTTAATTAGTAGTGTGAAAATTAATAAAGGGAAACCTCACTAAAGTGGGAGGCTAGAAAAAGGAGCCATACCACCCAATAGCAATTACATGAAGAACTGTCCATTACAGACCACAACAGAAGAATCATCAACAGGAAAGAATCATCAATTATAGGCCCCACCAGAAAAGATGTACACAGGATCTCCTGCCAAGAAATCCACTGCAACTCAGCCAATGAGAAACCTTGGTCAGTCATTCTCATCCTGAACTCTTGCTTTTCTCCAATGGATTTCCGCTCAGAACGACCCCTCCCAACTTCCTCCTCATTCTCCATAAAATGATGTTCCTCTCCTTCGTTTGCTGGATTTGCCAATAGTTTTGCCATAGCTTGCATGTCCCCAATTGGAATTCTTTGCTATTTTTGAGTAAACCCATTTTTGCTGATAAAATAAGTTTTATTTTTAAGGTTAGTAGTAGTCTGCAAAGTGTAAGTAATAAAAATGTGGTGCCTTAAAGATTTTGGATTTTAAGGGATAACTATACTGACATTCAGAAAAGGAGTACAAGGACCACCAATCACTGAATATTAGATCTGGCTGAAATCCTACATTACCACCCTACAAAGACATGTTCATCTCCAAACTGTATTCTATGAAACCTTTTAAATATGCAACTCCTGATTTTCAAAATCAGTCTACTTCAGAAAGTCTTAAACAACTTAACTGTTTTTCCTGAATTAATTTTTTTAAAGATTTTATTTATTTATTTGACACACAAAGAGCACAAGTAGGGGGAGCAGGCAGAGGGAGAGGGAGAAGCAGGCTTCCCACTGAGCAGGGAGCCCGACGCAGGGCTTGATCCCAGGACCCTGGGATCATGACCTGAGCTGAAGGCAGATGCTTAACAACTGAGCCACCCAGGCACTCCTTCCTAAATTAATTTTAAAGGTCAATACTTCTCCTGCATCCTCTCTCAGGCATATATATGTTAACCCTTGAACAATGCAGGGGTTGGGGTGCTGATTCCTCTCCATGCAGTTAAAAATCCAAGTGTAACTTTTGATTCTCCAAAAATTTAACTACTAATAGCCTATTGTTGAAGAGAAGTCTTACCAATAATATAGTCGATTAACACATATTTTGTATATTAGATATATTATGTATTGTAAAGCTAGAGAAAATGTTATTAAGAAAATCATAAGGTAGAGAAAATACATTTACAATACTGTACTGCATTTGTTAAAAAAAAAAAAATCCACATATAAGTCGACCCACGTAGTTTAAACCCCTGTTGTTCAAGAGTCAACTTTATTTATGTTAAAAACTACTTTCATGGGGAAGGAGCCAAATTAAAATCCTGTAAAATCAAAGAATGGTTCAATCAAGTTTACACTTCTTTTGTCTGTCTTATTATTTGTTATAAATCAATCTTCCCACATTTATGAAATTGTTCTATACCCTCCTACCACTCACTTGCCACTTTCCAGTAAGGATAAAGAAGTAACATGAGGAGAAAACAAAAATAAAGACATAACATCTACTTATACGGCAAGAAAAATGGTGTAAAAGTAAAATGCTCCCCTCTTGTGGCCGCTGTGTGCCTCACTCATCGTGTCTAGTCACACACTGGGCTAGTGTCCAAAGTGCTGCCATTTGTATAGAGAAGACTTGTAAAGTCAAATGGTGCATGAGTAAAGATGTGGAACGTACAGCTGCTGTTGTACCCTTCTTTTTTTTAAGGTTTTGAGAGTGAGCGAGTGTGTGCATGAGCGGAAGGGAGGGGCAGAGGGTGAGGGAGAAGCAGACTCCCTGCTGAGCATGGAGCCCAACTTGGGGCTCGATCCCAGGACCCCAAGATCATGACCTGAGCTGAAAGGCAGACATTTAACCGACTGAGCCACCCAGGCGCCCCACTACTGTTATACCTTTAGTGGATATTACGGGGACCAAATAAAAACCTAGGCCTGAGAAGGAACGGGTGAGAGACCCAAGCATGGTACCAGAATGACCAAATCAAGGAAAACAACAGAGGCTGTCCTAGAATGATCTACTTGTTGCAAACTGAAAAAAAGAAAATTGTGAGAATTTGACTTTAAAAAATTAAGATACTAATGAATCAGTACTGCTCTCACTGCTCTCTAGGTTACAGTTAAAAGGTTGATTAAAGGCATGATTCTATAATTACCCCTACTGCATGACAAATTTTCAGAGCTGTATCAACGAAGTTACTTACCCGCTGTGAGGAATTAAGATTGTCTGTGTGATTAGGGAAAAGCTCAAGTGTCAGGGATGGCTGTTTCAGAATTCCAGGCATAAGATCCATATTTGAATCACTATCTTGGTCTGATATGTTACTTTCCAATGAATCGGCTACAGGGTAAAGAAAAAAATCAATTATATTTACTACTTCTTTAAGAGAAGTGTTTAAACTAATTATGCTAATAGTCTAACCTAAGTCACTTAAGAGAAGCACTGCCTCTAGACAAAAGGTTGGTAAACTTTTTCTGTAAAGGGTCAGTAAATATTTTAGGCTTTGCTGGCTTTGTAGGTCTCTACTGCATATTCTTTTTTGTACTTTATTTACAACCCTAAAAATGTAGAAAGTGTACTTGGTGGTCTGATTTTGGCCTGTGCACCACAGCATGCCAGCTCCTGTGCTACAGGATAACTGAGGTAAGACGAGAAAATATTTTGACTTTTCAGATGCAGAATATAAGACATCTGTTATTCTCTGAATTATTTTGATTACATATTCAATCATGTAGCATGGTACCAAGTGGCACTGGGGCATTCCAAAGCTACAGAGGACCTAGTCTCTGTGACTAAGAAGTGATTTGGTTGGAGACAAGCACACAGAGAGTCAGAAAAAACAAACACAAAGACAAATCTCAAGACACGGGAGGAGGCTGAGTCAGAGCAGGAGCACAGTCGGAACTCAGAACGTTTCATGACAAGAGGTGAAGACCCAACTGTGGCAACTAAAGTATAAGGACAAGGCTCTAGCTCTGTTGGTGCAAACAGGCTGGGCTACAGACGAAGCAGGGACTCAACTCACAGAGGACAAATGGGGCCTGGCTTCTGGAATTAGGGTAGTAGATCACAGCCTTGACATGAAGGCAAATAGCTGCTAGGGATACTGACCTAGACCATGGAAGGCCGCTCCTGCCAGGGAAACAACTGGCCTGAGAATATAAAACGGGGTAGGGGGCCTAGTGTGGGAAATCAAGGGTCCCAGTACAAAGGTCAGGAGGCTGCCAAAGCAAGGGCACGAGAAAAGTCATTAGCCTAGAGATGAGACCATGACAGTGTGATGTATAGCAGCCCATCCTACAGATGGTCTCAATGAAGAAGGTGAAATTTTCCACCTACTGCCTGGTCAGGCACAAAGAAATGGACTTAATTTGCAAGAAGCAAAGGTTCTAGGCCAGATAAGACTATGGGTTCAGACTGAGAAGTAATAATCACCCCTGATTCTTTGGAAGAACAGGCTTAATTCGCCACCTTTTCTAGGCTGTGAAGTTTCTCCTACTTGGTGTCAGAAGATCAGCCAGATGCTATCTTCCAATTGTAGAGAGTCTCCCAATTGTAGGATTCTCTGGGGTTTGACATAAGGCTCTCACGTGGAAACAGGCAAGTAGGTGGGGGCTCATTCATAAATAGAGAAAAAATGAATAAACTGGAAAACAAGACTTCTATGTATTGATTAATTAAAGAAAGACAAAAAACAGGTTGAAGTGGGTCCCTTTCTCTACTTAAAGATTATTAAGAGAGGTTCAGTCTACCTGTCTTTAACTAGTGTCCTTAAGAAAGTTAAGAAGAGCTAACATCCTATACCTCTGCATAATCTAAATGCTATCATGCCTTAGAAGTTAAACAATGACTCAGATGACTTCAGAATCTTTCCCAATGCAAAAATACTGCACAAACCAGTGAATACAAAAAATAGATTTTAAAACAGCACCATACAAAAAATGCTCTTACTTAAGGACTCCACAGGAGAAGGAACTACAAAAGCTATTTCAGTAAGGGCATCGGCATAATACAGCACCTTCTTCTGTCCATTGAAAATGCTAGCCCCAACATCTTCAGAGGTAATCACTTCATCTAGGAATGAGAAACACTCCATTACTGCTCCAAAAAAGTGGGAAAAATCAGTTTCATCCTGCTTCATGAAATTTTAACTGTTAATAAAATGGTATTCAACAGAAGGCACGTTTCCAGCAAGAACCAATGAGTGTATAAGAAGAATAAACCATAAATGTTCATCAAATGTCTTTACACTAACTTTAAATAATAAAATCTTAATTTCAGTTTCTGAAACTACTCTAAATTAGGCCACTTCTGATTAGCAGAGACTTGAACTCATCTGTATGAGGCAGATTATGAAAACAGTTTTTTGGGAAGAGGTAATAATCCAAAGGAAGATGACCACCACAGACCTCTGAAAGGAGTTAGGGCAGGTGTCTGTGTGTTTTATACTCTTGCTTTCAAGGCATTTCTGTCCCTGGTGTCTCTCTACTTCTCCTCAGCTCTGCTTCTGCTCTACTTTCCTCAATGGTCAGTGACAGAACATAAAATGTACAGGCATTTTGAGTAATAGTATCTGCTCTGAGCCAGCAAGAATGAATTAACAAAAGTAACATTCCTGACAGCTAGTATAGTTCTCAATTAAAACGAACATAATGCCTTACCAATAATACATAAAAGACCAACAACCTGACAAAAAACTGGGAAGAGGAAATGAACAAGTAGTCCTGACTCAGGAGAGAAATAAAAATATGAAAAAATGCTGAAACTCAATCATTTCTCAGCTAACAGATTGGAAGATACCTAATGTGGGTGAGGATGTGGCAAACAGAAGTTTAGACCAGAGGTTAACAAACTTTCTCTGTAAAGGATCAGATAGTAAATAAGGCTTTGTAGGCCAAATGGTCTCTGCCACAACGACTCAAATATGAAAGCACTGTAGCATGAAAGCCGTCATAAACAATACATAAACAGGTGTGGCTGAGTTCCAATAAAACTTTATTTGCAAAAACAGGGAGCGCTGTAGTTTGCCAACTCCTGGTTTAGACAGTGGGAAGGCACATTGCGTCTACTGTAGTAGACACTTTGCTTACTGCCCCAACACCCACTCTGTCTTCCCCCACTCTGTAGCAGGTGTGACCCGTGTGGAATTGACCCTTCATACCAGCTGTACCTTGTCTTTAGCTCTCTACCAGGGTCATTCCATCTCTCTCGCCATGGCAACAGGTTTGGAGTGGCCAAACCACTGTGTATCTCAGGACCTGGATGTAGGGAGGTTCTGAGACCCAGCTAATCTCTTCTCTTCAGGCTAGGGTTGGTATGTGAATGTAAAGCCTGGTACGGCCTTTTTGTACTATGAGAGAAGCCAGGCTAGGAACAAAGTCAATATACGAACAGCAGAGCTAAAGGAAAATTGCTGAGCAAGAGAATGGGGTGCTGATCAAATGACAACAAAAATGTATACTAACCTCTGGAATTTTCATTTACATCAGACAATAAATGACCCTTAAAATATAAGCCAGTTTGGGTCAAGTTTTCTGTTACTGCAACCATAAGCAACCAATGATATTTTTATCTAATTGAAAAATGTGCATATCCTTTATCAATTCACTTATAGGAATTAAATATACTCAAGCATATATTAAAGGATATGTGGAAATTAAAATTAGAGTATATCCCCAAATACTTCGATTCAAACTTGACTGAAATTAGAAAAAATGACAGGTCACAAGTCACCATGGTATTCAGTGAGAAACCCCGAGAGAGTACAATCTTGTTGACAGAGCAACTCTGATAATTCAAAGCACTGGATACAGGTATCACCCACTTCAGAGATAATATTAACTCTTCAGTGACTTCAGGAGCCCTCAGAACAAAGAGCATTAGCCAGGTAGTGCAAAGGTCTTAAACTTAAATTTATACTTGCTCTGGTACTTACTATCATGATTATAGTTCCTCAAGAAGATTTGTAGATACGGGCATGAATCTCTCCAAGATAGCTGTTTACTACAAAGGTTTCTATATAATATCCCAAGAATGTGGGGCACCTGCGTGGCTCAGATGTTAAGCCTCTGCCTTTGGCTCAGGTCATGATCCCAGGGTCCCGAGACCGAGCTCCGCATTGGGCTCCCTGCTCAGCGGGAGGCCTGCTTCTCCCTTTCCCACTTCCCCTGCTTGTGTTCCCTCTCTCGCTGTGTCTCTCTCTATCAAATAAATAAATAAAATCTTAAAAAAAAAAAATCCCAAGAATGTAACCTTTAATTATAGCCACAAAGTCTATAAAACACACCTGTTAATAGAAAACTGTATTGGACAAAATATATGTTAGCAAAGATAAATCTCAATTTATTATAATACTCTTACAGAAAACAGAATTTGTTCACTCACAATATAAAAGGGAACTTATTAGCCTTATGTTATTTAAGCCATGAATTTTATATTAACTAACTTTATCTATCTGTCTATAATTTTTTTCCCCCATATATACAGAAGACATCTGAAAGAATATACAAACTAGTGTTAAGTGGCCTCTTCTAAGGACTCGAATTAGGGGAAGAAAACTTTTCTTTAATATACTTAATGGTTTGTTTGTTTCTTTGTAAAATAAGACTACAAACTTATAGTAAAGAGGGAGATATCAAGAACAACAAAACAAGAAAAAACAATGACCATTATGAGTTTTACCTTGTTCAGGTCCTTCACCATCGTCGCAACTGTTAATAGACCAACTGGTGGAAACATGCCCAGTCCAACCAGGGTGTCTGCCCACATCTACTGACCAGCCAAGGGAAAGCAAAAATTCTAGGAAATGTGGCTGAACATTTCTGGAAGATTCCACATTCTTTAAAATCTGAAATACATACCAATCATCAGCTATAATGGAGGAAACAAAAGAGCATATCAAAATAAATCTCCATAAAAATTAGTTAGCTTTGAAGTATCTGACAAATTAAGTCTAAGCTCAGAATAAACTTGGGAATACATCCCTATAGTTAAAAATGATGCTTCTAGTTAGACAGATTTGGGTTCAAATCCTGGCTGGGCCTTGGGAAAGTTTCTGAACCTCACTGTTTCAGTGTCTTCAACTCTAAAGTAGGGATAATAATGATGTTTGTGAAGATTAAGTGAGATAATGCAAGTAAAGCCTTTAGCTTCCTCTCTAGCAAAAACAATTACTAAACTAGACGTGTTTACTAAAAGCAAATTAAAACTGCTATGTCCCCGTCTTCACAGACTTTACTGTCTGGTTAGTGAGACACATTACACAGGTATGTGATTATTTTATTACACATCATGGCAAAGGATATAAAAAGTACAAATCTATTAAAAATTCAATAAAGATTAGGTATAATAAGCGAGAAAACATCCTCCTCTTAGTCCAAAGAAGAGAATGCAGCCATTCCAGAAAAAAATAAAGCGACCAGAAGGTTCTCCCCTCTTAACTAAATACCAGATTTAATACCTGGGCTTTTCACTGGCCTCGAAAAGTCCCTAAAACCATGGTTCTCATGGGGGTGATTTCCCCTCTAGGGGGCAACTGGAATGTCTGAAGACATTTTGTCATCACAATTTGTGGGGTACTACTGGTGTCTAGTGAGTAGAGGCCAAAGATGCTGCTAAATGTCCTATTTATAGGACAGCTCCCATAACAAAGAATTATCTAGGCTAAAACAGCAATAGCACTGCTGTTGAAAACCCTATGCCAAGGGAAGGAAAATGAGAAATCCTCTACAAATTATGAATGAAAAGGGGGGAATATATCAAAATCACCAAGGGAATATTTTTTCTTGAACATTTCATTAAACTTTTTATTCAGTAATAATTATAAAACATTTATTTAACTTTTATTTAATTTTGCATTGTTATTTCCGTTGTGAGAATAAATGACTAAAATATTAAGTGATTTACCTGATCTATAGTTCTTAATCTAAGATCATTCAACTTATAATTTAATATCTGCAGTAGAATATTAAAAGTATGTAGTATGTACGACATCTATAAAACACATAAACAAATCATACAACACGAAAGCAAAGAGTATAAGGATCACCTGACACTGAACACAGCACCTGACACTGAACACAGCAATAGATATCACTGTTGATAGCACTCAAAATCAGCATACAGAGATTTGAGGCATTCTTGAATTCAGAGAGGGGTGAGCTGACACTGATTCTATAGGACCAGGGAAACATAAATCTGCCACCTGGGCAATTTCTTAAACATGAGATTCTCTTAGACCACTGCAGACCTTCTACACAGCATCAGCAGAAGAAGGATCCTAGAATCACTATTTTTAAAACTCTCCAACTGACAGTGACAGAGTTGGTCCACAAGTCACAGATGTGGTTCATCAATACTAATCTATGTCAAGACCATACAGAGGCCTGATCAAATCAAAATATGGGATGTTCCCTCTATTACCTGTTAATCCACTGGGCGAAAATTGCCAGTCCATCATGTCTTAAATACTTCTCGTTAAAAGTACACCTATGTAGTTCACCCACAGCCCTTCACAGTCCTATAAGTGTCAGGAACCTGATTGACAGCCACTTCCAGTTTTCTTTCAATTAAAATTTTTATTCAGAAGTGGAAGTTTTAAATAAACAATTTCTGAAAAGTCAGTCAAGACACAATAGATGAGTCAAATTCAACCTGCTGGCCACTGGCTGGCAGCTAGAAATTAATCTAAAGCTACCCTGCAGCTAGGGAAGGTAGGGCTCAGACATTCTATAGGAGGCTGCAAAGACTGCAATGCTCTAATCACTCTCAGTTCCTAGAAAGCTAAGGAAACTGAATTAGTTTAAGAGCTACCTCAACAGTTTGTGTCTTCTTTCACAGGAAGGAGAAAAATGGCCCTATTATTGTTATACGAATGAACCATGCATGAGAATTCTTCCAAACAAATCCTCAACCCCTGCAATCAACCCCACTCTGGGGTTCTTTCAAAAACCTGGACTCCACTAGTCTCACCTCCAGCTATCATAAGCCCACATTCTCCCAAGCTCCAAAGTATACTGGACTCCAGTGAATTTTGTGAAGATGGAATTCTCTCTTACCTTCAGGGCCATTACACATGCTACGACTTTGTTAGTAACAACCTGCTTCTACCTTTTTACCTACTCTCAATGTAACCACAGATTATCAGCTAAAATGTCTTTTTCTACTAACCTTCTCAAAACGAGATTAGGTTTTCCTGTTGATGGCTACTATAACATGCTTCTAATTAGCACATTTTATTATGGTTGCTTATTTAGTCATCTGTCTTCCCCTTTAGACAGTAGTTCTGGGACTCAGATACCTTGTAGATCTGATCTGATCTCAGATACCTTGTAGTTCACCACTGTAACCCTGGCACCTGATAGTGGACACTTAATAAATATTTATTGAATCAATAGCATGAGATGAGAAGAACTTTCTCATAAAGCAATCTCATTTTCTAGCAGTTCACCAATTATTTGAAATAGTGCTTCTAATAGAAATATTTTGTGACTTTGGTAAATTTTTTAAGGTATGATCAGTTTGATTAGCTAACAGTGTTATAAGGGTTACAGTAAAATTCCAATATCATGTAGTCATAGTGCCCTACACATCTAATACCGTATTTGATAAATCTTCCTTTGGTCCTTTCCTAGTCAAAAGTTGGTAACTGCCTGCCTATTCCATGTTTCAACTATTCATTTCCAATAGACACTTCAAATCTCTTGTCATTTACTCTCAGTTTTCCCATTATCCCTCATCTTATATCTTTCTTCATCCTTCTACTCTCTTTGATACATGCACCAACTTAAGTCTTCTTTAACCTAAGTTTTACTTAAGCCTTCCACTTCTGTCTTTTACATTATTTCAGGGTGTTCTTTTCCCCGCCGTACGCTATTGCATGCCTCAACTGAAATTACTTGCTTGTGAAATTACCTGGAAGGTGAGCTCCTCGAGGGGAAAGACTGTTACTCACTTCTATACCCAGGCACGGTGAGCCACACAGAAAATGTTCAGTAAACATCTGTTGCTGTTTTTCATCTTCTTAAGCAACTGAGCCTAGCTTTAGCTTTTTGTGGTTAACCTTCCGTATTTCAGTTTCTTTTGTCCTATCAACCTGAATTCTTCAAGGGGAAGAAAGACACACTATGGCTCCTCTCTAAATCACATTCGAGCGTCAAAAGACTTAGGACTCTGGGCATCACAATTTTCATTAATTTCATTCTGAACTGGTTCACAATTCTTTAAGCATCAAGTATAACCTCCCTCCTATTACGGATAAACACAAGCCAAGTAAAACTTTTTAACACTTATAGCATAAAAAATTATCCCCAAAATTCAGAAATCTTACCTCCTGGTTTGTTTTCTGACCTGGTTTCATATAGAAAATAAAAACTGTGTCAAAGGGACGACATGGCAAGAGATCCAGATACCCAATGTCATCAAAAAATCCAGGTATCGTGGAGTCAAGTGCAATAAGGTGAGGAGGTAGGCGACTATTTGCAGGCTCCTACCACCAAAGGAAGAAAGGAGAAATTATCATCTCTTTTCACTATTCTAATTATAAAAGCAATACTTGCTCATGGTTTAATAAATATTAAGTAAAAAAATTATAAAGTGGCAGGAATAAGCACAACCATTATCCTGAACTAGAAAAGCTATTTAACATTCTTGTATACTTCCTTTCAATTGCTTTTTTTGTCAAAGACAATGGAGATCATACTATATATATAATTTTGGATCCTATTTTCTCTGTAATATATCACGCTTTCTAGAAAAAAATAAAAAAATTCATGGGGGGAGCCTGGGTGACTCAGTGGGTTAAGTAGCCGACTCGATTTTGGCTCTGGTCATGATCTCAGGATTGTGAGATTGAGCCCCACATTGGGCTCAATGCTGGAGCCTGCTTGAGATTCTTTCTCTCCCTCTCCCTATGCCCCTCCACCCACTTGTGAGAGCTCAGAGTAATGTTCATACTCTCCATCACCAACTCACTTTTCTATAACACAGAACATTTTCCATTGATGTGCTGAAACCCAAAACCAGCAATGTTGCCCCTGCTTTCCTAAAAAGTTAACCTTTGGCCTTTAACCAAGTAGCTACTAGGGAGTGAGGGCAGGGGACAACTTGTGCAATGAGCAACTTCTTGCCTAGCACATGTCAGTTGTGCTTTTCAAAACAAAGAGGCCTTAGTACAAACCCCAAATCCGCCTCGGGCAAGCTATTTCACATTTCTGAGCCTGTTTCCACATCTGTAAAATAGGGATAGTATCATTTTCTTTGTAAAACTGTTTTAAGGATAATGGAATTAAGAATAATGGCAATAGGGGTGCCTGGGTGGCTCAGTCGGTTAAGCATCTGCCTTCAGCTCAGGTCATAATCTCAGGGTCCTGGGATCGAGCCCCATATCGGGCTCCCTGCTCAGTGAGGAGTCTGCTTCTTCCTCTCCCTCTGTACCTCCCCACATTTTAAACTTTTTTTGTGCTTTTTCAAATAAATAAAATATTTAAAAAAAAAAAGAATAATGGCAATATCTGGGCCCTGGCTGGTTCAGTCAGTAGAGTGTGCGACACTTGATCTCAGGGTTGTGAGTTCAAGCCCCATCCTGGGTGAGGAGCCTACTTAAAAAAAAAAAAAAAAAAAAAAAAGAATGGCAATATTTACCTTCCAGGTTGGCTGGCTGTGCACTAAGTACTGCATGAAGCGTCTCACACAGTCTCACACAGCCACAGTGAGGTGGGTACTTTTATCGTCTCCATTTCAGATGAGGAGCTAAGACTTGGAGACATTGGGCAACTGCCCAAGATCACACAGCTGGCAAGCACTGGTGCCAGGACATAAACCCAGCCAGTCTGATCTTAAAACCTGCACAACATAAGAAGTTCTCCGCTCACAAATACTTGTTACTTTTTAAAAGTGGCATTAAAGAGCAGAGCCCATTGTAGCTTGTACCTCCAGTCATAAATGCTGATAGGAGAAGATTTTTAACACTCTTGTTCTAAGTATCTGTAGATTTCATTTGCACATGTGATATGGGCCCTACAGTACTCAGGGAATTTCAGAGCTATGTGTATTACCAAAGCAGCCCCCTCAGACAGGGGGATCGTCCCCTCAATCCGGAAGGATTCATGGGACAAACGATTTTGGACTTGTAGAGTAAAAACTATAGCACCACAGAATTTCATCTACTTGCAATGCAGGGTAAGATTTATTTATTTAATTCCTTCTGTCCTCATAAAAATGTTTTAGCTATTATCAACTCCATGTTAATTTATGAATATATTTACTCATAGAGGTTTAGGAAAATTACCTTCAATGCTTCTAAGGACAAAAATCCAAAGTGGGAAAGGAAAAGGCGTGCTGTTTGGAATTCCTGGGCAGGTGGTGGAGGCTTACAATCCGTAACTGGATCAGGAAAACTTCTCTTTTGCAGTTCTTCCTCACTTTGATGTTCAAGGTGTACTTCATAAGCAATCTGCTGGGTCATGCCATTCCTTAATTTTTCATGTCTCTCTTCTAACTGAAATAAACCAAATATTTTATTATTTTGGAATTATCATAAAAGTAATAGGATTAATCTTAATTTAAGAATAAAAATAAAGCTTTAAGCAACAAAGGAAATGCAGATAATTTTCACTGATCAACACGGAGTTTCAATTCAATACAGAATGCAACTAAGCAAACATGTTTCAAGGTTAAAACAAATACCCAAAAAACTCCCCTGTAGCCTCAACAATGATGTCCTTCATCTCCTTGCTGTAAATGAAACCATTCTGTCTCTGCTTCCCCTCAAATGGGCAAGAAAGGGGGCAGAGTTGTTGCTTTCACTCCCTCTCCCTCACCACTGTCCACCCTCACCGTACAGCCCCTCGCGTTGAAAGTCCTCATCCGTATGGATGACTCTACTAGATTCAGAGACTCTCTCCGACCGCCTGCTTCCCTTCTGATCAATCCTAGCTTAAACTCCATCCTCTGTGGTGAGCGATGATCCTTCCAATAGCCTGGCTTGTATTTCTATAACCTCCTCAACCTTCACAACTTTGGCCATCTACGAGCACACTCTGTACCTCAGATAAGCCGTATTTTAAAGAGCTACAATGATGAGATTCCCTTCTCCAACCACAAGCCCCCTTCTGCAGCTCTCCCACACCTTCCCTCCCTAAGCTGTGCTTTCCCAGCACTGTGAGCATTCAAACCCTCCTCATATTGTCCCAGCCAGTAGTATCCTGGCTTTATCTATTTCCCAACCAAGCCTAACCCCCCAAATCTAACATCTTAGTACCCTCTTCTAAACATATAAATGGCCATGTTTTTTTATTCTTCCATATTCTTACCCCTATCAATCTCCACACCACTCAAATTTTTTTACTCAATGCCTCCAAATCCCAAGGACTTTTGAAGAAGAAAGCACAGTAAGTTAAATAATTTCACCATAGACAATTCTATTTAACATGGGCTGGGCTGCCTGGCAATTTTATGAGCTATCTTTTATTTCCTATTTCACTGCTAAGAACTAAAATTAAAATTTACATGAGCTCCCTCCTTTCCACCTTCAAATGTCTCTGAACCTCCACCTGTTCTCTCCTTCTCTCCTGTCTTACCAGAAATATGGTTTTTCTAGACACAATCACTCAGACTCTTGACCCTACTCTACGGCCTTATTTGATTACTTATCATTTTCCTAGCCCATCTTACAGTATTAGCAGACACTGGCCCTTTTTCCACTGCTTCCTTCCTTTCAGCCTCTAAGCATGTTCATATTCCTCACAACTATGAGTTAAAAAAAAGAGAGAAAGAAAGAAAAAAGAAAAGTAAAAACTAGCTTTGCCTTGCCTTAGCTAGGCCATTTCCTCATGCTATTATCCACTCTCTTAAATGCTAACTGTGTAGTTCATGTTCAGTGCCTCTCATTAACCACTCACCCTCCAGCCCCTCACACTCCTGTCCCTGATTTTAACACTCTTTTGGACCTGCTCTCAAAGGTCACCCACACGTTCATGCCAAAATCCAGGGGCCTCTACTTAGTGCTCCTTCTCTCTGATCTCTCTGACTACTGTAAGCAGCCTCCATTCCTGTCCTATTCTCTCATGCCCTGACATACTTCTGCCCCCTACTTCTTAAACTTCTCTCTTGATCTAAGATACCAATTACTTAATCTAATTATCTAAATTAATCTAGAACCAAATACATTTTCCCATCTTCCCAAACATGTCCTCTTCCTAAATAATCCATATTTCTGTAAATAGCACCGATATCTCCTTTGTCACTCAGCTTCAGAATCTAAGTTCTTCAGTTTTTTTTCCTTCTCTCATCAATCGAAGACTGCTTGGGTCTACCTCTACAGTACATTCCATGTGTTTCAGCTTCCACAATCAGCCAGGTAGTCCCTCCTTTTCCCTGCCTTGATGGTCATCAAAATCTCTGAATTGGTCTCCCGTCTCCAAATATCCTCCACCATTCTGATCATGTCCCCATCCTGCTGAAACCTACCATGGACCAGCCCAGACGCCTCTCTAGGAGGGGTCCAGGTCCTTTCAATCAGCCACAAATACTTCTTACTACATGGTAACCTGGATGACAGAGATCTAGGTTATCTTATGAACCACCTCCAATAACATCAAAAAAAAGGAGCAGTCTTGACCACGGCAGTTGTTCAAGAATGTTTAGTCATTCTGTTAACAACAGCTGACAATAACTTATCTTACTTCTTCAGTGACAATTTCATGCAAATCTGGAATGCTCAGATCTGCTTTCACAAAAGGAATCTTATCCACCTCTTCAGGAAATGGTCGATGTTTGACAGTATATTTAAATCCAACATCATTTTTAGGAACTGGACGAGGTTCAGGTACAAAAAGCTGTTAAAATAAAACAAATAATGTTATATGAATTACATTTGGTGCCATCTGTAATGACATGTACTTCCCTGGTCTCTTAGATGCCTGTTTCCCTAGGATTACATAACACTGGAACTCAGTATCTGCAAATACCACTGCTAACACTAAAGGTAAACAGCCTGTGTACCAGTGTATTCCTTTATTTTTATAAACATGTTCATCATTTTGCAGATTTTGTGACTTATGGGTTGTATACCTCTAACAGCCCCAGGCCAGAATTTCCCCTATTAAGTGGTAAACCAATGGATAAGGCAGTTCAGAACTTAAGGCTCAAACTTCCCTCTTCTCCAAGGGTTCTCAAATCATCCCATATAACGAAGTACAAGTTTAGGTCCCCTGGGCCTCTCTAGACAGGGAGTTCAACTGAATACCAAATCTAGATCCTCGTGGCTCCAAATCCCTGCTTTGATATACATTAACTGTGCGGCTTCTGTTTTTGCATCTGAAAAGTGGAAATAATCCATCACAAGGATGTTGTAATGATTAAATAAAAATGTATAAGGCACACATTAAAGCATCAACAAATTTTAGTTCCTTTCCTGATCTCCTTCCTCCTGTCTTTAATGCTAATTTAGTGGCTTACAGTGCTGACAGAATGTGATCTGCATGATGCCACCAAGCAAAAACAGGGGTGTGCTCCTCACAGGGTAAAAACACATCTCATCTAAAAGAGACAGCCAGGATGTTAAGTGATTTTAGACACATGCTCCAATTTTGTGGTTGTCTCTCTTAAATGCTGGTAACATTTTATGAAATCATGTTTTAAAGAATTTCTAGTAACGTAAGTAAAAGCTTGTAATGTAATAAGTGAAAAAAAGAACGGTATACAAAAAGGACTCAAATTCTATTTAATATTATCGTGTACAGAAAGGAAAAAAGGCTGTAAAGAAATCCACTAAAGTACTTAGTGACTACCTCTGGAAAGTCAGAGTACAGATGATTTAAAATTTCTTCCTTATTATCTGAATTTGCCAAACTTCTCCCATGAGCAAATTTTATTCACAAAATTACAAACATTACAAAGAAAATAAACTATGCCATCCCAAATAAGATTTCATTAAATTATACAGCATATTAAAAAAATTATAGGGCATATTACCAATTATACAGGAATAAATTATATAAAAACAATGTGAAACTAAGCCCTGTTGCCAGAGAGATCGAGAGTCTGGCCAAATTTTTTTCATACATGGAGCATACCTGAGTTTTATATTTAACACAACATAAAAAAATGAGGCCACGGCTCAGAACAGTAGTTCTTAATCATAAGCAGATTCAGAATCACCTGGAAAGCTTTTTGAAAATACACCTGTCATGAAGATTCTTTAAAGAGTAATTTAGTGGATGTGGGAATTATGGGCTCCTAAGATGATTCTGATGTGAACCAAGGGACTGAACCCTGGATCAAAAATATTTATCAATGAATTTTTTTT